CTTCCCACTGCATTCCCAGGGGAGCAGCTTTCTTCCCCACTGCATTCCCAGAGGAGCAGCTTTCTCCCCACTGCATTCCCAGAGGAGCAGCTTTCTTCCCACTGCATTCCCAGAGGAGCAGCTTTCTCCCCACTGCATTCCCAGAGGAGCAGCTTTCTCCCCACTGCATTCCCAGAGGAGCAGCTTTCTTCCCACTGCATTCCCAGAGGAGCAGCTTTCTTCCCACTGCATTCCCAGAGGAGCCCAGGCCCATCTCCCCCAGCCCTGGAGCTCCAGAGGAAAACTCCCCCCTTGTGCAGGATCCTGCTCCAGCAGAAGCACAGCTGGCACTGCAGGAGGGCTGAGCCACCCTGGGATGGGGCTGCTGCCACCTCCCTGACACACAGCCTGCCAGGGTCTGCTCTGGCTCTGGCACTGCTTTATTTTGTACTATTGCATTTGTATTTTTAATTTTCCTGATAAAGAACTGTTATTCCTATTCTCACATCTTTGCCTGAGAGTGCCCTAATGTCAAAACTACAACAATTCAGAGGAGGGGGTTTGCATTTTCCATTTCAGGGGAGGCTCCTGCCTTCCTCAGCACACACCTGGCTTTTCCCACCCAGAGAATAACTCAGGGACACTGTCTGGCAGCCAGGAGGCTGTGAGAGAGCTGCTCCAGCTGGGATCTGCAGAGAGGGCAGTGGGAAGAAGTTCTCAGCTGCCACTCGGAGCTGGGGAGACTGGAGGGCCCAGATGTGGAAGTTTCCTCCTTGGACAAGCCCCACTTCAATCTGCTTGCCACAGGAGCAGAAGGAACTTCACTTTGCAACACAAGTCCAAATAAGATAAACACAAGTGCAAATAAGATATAAACATGATAAAAAAGCAAGGAAGCGTTGCTAAATAACACAAGGCTGCAAGACCTCACTTGGATAACTCATACCGAGACTTTCTGCCCCTGGCCCCCTTCTGCCTCCCTGATTTCCCACCTCTGCAGGAGCCGGTGGGAGTTTTATCCTCCTGAGCCCCAGTGATCCTCTGCCTCATCACCTGTGTGTTCATTGTTCACAAAAGGAGAATCCTGCCCTGCTCCTCTCAGCCACATTTAAAAACCAAAATCTAAACACCAGCACTCTGCTGTTATTTAGGGTAAAAAAGAAAGATTTGCTGGCTTGCAGGTGTCTGAATGGGAAAAAAAAAAAAAAAGAGGAAGGGTATGGAATAAAAAGAACAGAAATGTAAACAAAACAATCTGGAATACAAAAAGCTACCTTTCATACTGTGCTGGTTTTGGCTGATGAGCAGCACAGGTTTGGCTGCTCTTGTTCAGGGTGGTAAAAACAGGGAAGTATGTCTCACCTCACCTGAGGATGGCTTTGTTCCCAAACTTTTTTCTGTGCCTTGACAGCTCCTCAGGACATTCATTAGCTGCTTGTGCCCTCCACAAAGGGCTGCAGATCTGACACTGCCATGTGTACACTTACTTGAAATTTAAGCCAGGCTTCTACAGTGTATGACCCAAGTTTTAAGAGCAATTAATTACTTTAAAGGAATTGCTTAGCATGGTTTCAAGACAACAAAACCACTTTATGAAAGCCTATCCTCACTGAACAGGCTGATTCATTAATTTTAATGATTCTGTTTTCTGCTCACAGACAATTCTATGATTAGATAAATTAAAAAAAAAAAATAGAGTAGAGCAATGCTAAACCATCCCCAAGTGTGGTTTTGACACAGCTGCAAGGCAGTGGAAGCTAATTGATTCCACAGCCCAGCACAGACCTTCCAAACCCCAGCCAAGGATTTTCTAGAGCAAGGTGAGCGAACACAAGGCCCTGAACCATCAGTCTGGATAACTCCTGCATCCCTGGCTCATGCACTAGCCCTCACCCATGTCCTTACACGCAGGACAGCAGCAGGCTGAGCCAGCCAAAGGGCTTCAGAGGGAGGCAGGGAGGGCAGGGAATGGAGAAGTGGGATGATGCATGCCAGAGCCCTGAACAGATGGTTGTGTGTGAGTCCTGCACCAGTGCACAAGGCACCAGGACAACTCTTCAGGCCCTGCAGAGTCAGAGAGCACAGAGACAGAGCTGGCTGTGCTGCAGAACTGCTCAGGAGCTGCAGCACCGCAGCAGGTCTGCAGCACTGCGGGACTCAGATTCAGTCAGAGAGCTTCCAAACTTACAATTTTCAAGGAATCAGTTACCAACTCTAGACTGTCTGTATAAAAGAGCAGTGTATTTTGAATTAACAGGAGTTTTACTCTCACAGCCTCCTGGTCAGAGTTTTCTCATTCCCGTCCCGCCTCGACAGCGACACAGAAACAAGGACAGATTTCACACAGCTACTGGCTCTGGTTCTCCTTGCAGCCAGCCACGAGGAAATGGCATTTTGCCACAAGAGAGGGTGTGTGGGTGGTCACCTTCAGTCGTGGCTGTTGGTGACCACAAAGATCTCGGGACACTGCAAGGAGAACAGTCTGCACAGAGAGAAATTGCCCATTTGGTGCTGGGAGTTTTTGCAGCAAAACCAAATTCAAAGCCAGGTAGAGGAAAAATAATATCAAAATTGCACGTTTGTCTTTGCAATCATCCACTTATTTACACTTATTCTATAAGCTGGGGTTTTTTGATTTGTTTGGAGTTTTTTTAGAATAAAATCAGCCCTTTCTTTTGAGAATCAAACCATTTCTTGGCTGCTCATGAAGATGAAGGGTATCTCAACCAAAGTTGCTGAGTATCTAGAGAACAATGCAAAAACATTAAAACATAAAGAAGTTTCTGGCAGGTCTATTGTTCTTAAAGATTTTCAATGCTTATATTGTTTTGTCATTTTGGAAACTGAGGATTTCCTCACCAGACACTGGTGGCTCAGGATCTGCAGTTTGTGTTGTTACTGTAAAATAAGCTTGGAGCTACTGCTCTCCTAGGACTCTGTATCTTTACTGCCAACATTTCACATTGCTTGGTCAGACTAATTCTTCACTAGTCCTCCTTAAAGTAGTCCTGTCCCATATTTTTAGGCAGCAACTAGTCAGTCTTTTCTGGTTTTCTCAGGCCTGTCCTTTCTCTCTCTCTAGTCTCACAAGTAAACAACACAAAAATCTGATTATATGCTCTGCTGCTGTAGCATTTCTTCCTTCCCTTGCCAAAGCCCTTGCATTTTAAATTATTTGCTATTTTGGAAGAACAACGTACTAGGAGAGCTAAAGAATTAAATCTGACACCTTTGCCATGGAAAAAATAAATGGCAGTCAGAGGCCAGGGAGTGCAGGTAACAGCTTCCACTTTGAAAATCCACAATGAACTATTACTCATTATCTTTGTGCTCTTCATATTTTTATTGGTATTTTTACCAATACTAATTGTAAACATGATGCAAAAGCAACTGCAACAGAATTCAGTGACACTACTTGTAGACACCGCCTAATGTAGATAAAAGTTTCCACATTTCAACAATCACTTAAATTTTAATTAGCAGAGAGGATCAACTCAAGTCATAGAACATATTTAATATGAACTGGAACACGATAAGCACCCAGAGTAACACAAAACTATAGTAACAGTCTGTTGCCACTTCTATTACAGCTCAGTATTTGCTTGATTCTGACTTTAATTTAACAGGGAGTCAAAACTTGGTGTACATAGGCTGCTGCCAGTACCTTGAAATGAATAATCACTCCTGTGATACCAAGACAGATTTTAGTAATCTCTTCTGGGCTGTTCAGCTTTCCAAACAAACCAAATCTCTCATGTATAGCTCTTACTGAGTTAATTCTCTTAGCAAACTTAACCTCTACAAAATTTAAACCCTTTACATGGGAAAAAGGGAATTGATTTCACATAAGAGAGTTTGACATTGCTGCAGTTAGCTTTTGAGAGTAAGCATCCTTTATTAGGAGCCTGAAGTGACAGTCTGTAAGTGCTATGAAGCACAAGGTGTTAAAAATTCCATCTCTTCCTTCTTTTTCCTTCCTTCCTTCCTTCCTTCCTTCCTTCCTTCCTTCCTTCCTTCCTTCCTTCCTTCCTTCCTTCCTTCCTTCCTTCCTTCCTTCCTTCCTTCCTTTCCTTCCTTCCTTTCCTTCCTTCCTTCCTTCCTTCCTTCCTTCCTTCCTTCCTTCCTTCCTTCCTTCCTTCCTTCCTTCCTTCCTTCCTTCCTTCCTTCCTTCCTTCCTTCCTTCCTTCCTTCCTTCCTTCCTTCCTTCCTTCCTTCCTTCCTTCCTTCCTTCCTTCCTTCCTTCCTTCCTTCCTTCCTTCCTTCCTTCCTCCCTCCCTCCCTCCCTCCCTCCCCCTCCCTCCCTCCCTCCCTCCCTCCTCCCTCCCTCCCTCCCTTGCTTCCTTCCTCCCTTCCCTCCCTTTCCTTTCTTCCTTCATATTTCCTTCCTTTCCTTTCCCTTTCCCTTCCCTTTCCTTCCCTTTCCTTTCCTTTCCTTTCCTTTCCTTTCCTTTCCTTTCCTTTCCTTCCTTTCCTTTCCTTTCCTTTCTTTCCTTTCCTTTCCTTTTCCTTTCCTTTCCTTTCCTTTCCTTTCCTTTCCTTTCCTTTCCTTTCCTTTCCTTTCCTTTCCTTTCCTTTCCTTTCCTTTCCTTTCCTTTCCTTTCCTTTCCTTTCCTTTCCTTTCCTTTCCTTTCCTTTCCTTTCCTTTCCTTTCCTTTCCTTTCCTTTCCTTTCCTTTCCTTTCCTTTCCTTTCCTTTCCTTTCCTCTTCTTTCCGCTCCTTGCCTTCCCCTTCCCCCTTCCCAATTTCCAATACTCCTCTTCCATCCACGCCAAACTCTCCCAGCACATTTCCCACCTGGAAAACACCCTAAAGGACATTTTATCCATGACACTCCACCAGCCACTCTGGTTTCTTGCCCTGCCTCCCCATCGTGCCATCACGAGCCAGACCCACGCTCCTGCCAGGCCCACGGACGTGACCCAATTATAAGAGTTGTCAAAATTCGCCACAAACGAACAAATGGATGAACTTCTGCAGGGAAACAGAGCGTGAGGTCCCAATGCCTGCTGAGTTTCGAGTACCTGTGAGTGCTTGGAGACCCAGTGGCGCAGGACGTTGAGGACGCGGTTGGTGGCGGCCCTGCGGATGATGAACTCCTTGTCGCACGTGCGCTCCGAGTTGTTGAACCCTGCACACAAAGCAAACCCACGGGTTTAAAACAAATTAAAATTAAAAATACAACAGAGGTGACCTGGGTAAACTGAAGGCTTATAGGATATTTCTGTGCAATAAAAGGAAAGGCGCCCGACACACGGTGAAATGTGAACATCTAAACCCAAGAAATTCTGCAGCATCAGTGCAGCACAGCCTTGCCCATCACAACACGAACACCTCCTGGGGTCAGCACTCAGCTTTGGAAAGGTGAAGAATAATTGCCTGTGCAATTAAATTTCAAGGCCTCCCTTCAGCATGGAAGAAATAAAAAAAAGTATATCAAGAAATGAAGTGAATGAAAAACCCCTGAAAATAAAGAAGGGTTCCCCCACCCCACCCCCAGTATGGAAGACATTTACAACAAGGAAAAGGACCAGACCAAAGCTAAGCCTGTAATCAAACAGATTTGAAAAGTCAGTATGATTTAGAAAAGGGTAAGAGGTAAATTTCAGAACTAGTAAAGAACAAGAGGAGGAGAACAGTTTAAACACAGAGAAGAAAAAGGTCAGCAGCAGAAATCTTCCTTCTCAAGAGCAGTATTGTACATGCTTTACTAATCAACACTTCAATTAAGTTACTGGGGTTTTTTACCACTGGGATGAGAAGAAAATTGGAAGATATAAGAAAATACATTTATAGACCCAGCTGCCTGAAAAGTAAGATTTTCCAGGTGCAGCCTTTCCCCACTCATCTGTTATGGGCAATTTATTTCTTTTTTTTTGTTTTTTCCTTATTTTTTTTTTCTTTTTTTTTTTGTCAGCAATATTTACTTATAAATAAATTCTTTTAATACACAAGAAACTTTCTTGCTACATTCATATCACTGCTTCTCTTTTCATTCTGCTGTAGCTGTATAAAAAATAAAATCCGTACGCCTAAATTATGATTATATTATTATTTTAATAATAACGAAATTGCTACACTAAGCCCCTGAATGTCTTTTTAAAAATTGTAACTCTGAAGAGAGACTTGAGAAGCTTGCATTTTGCTTTGCTTTTGTCAGATTTGCTCTTGCACGGTGCTGCTCTCCATTCCACTCAGTGCACAGCCCAGGAACAGCTGGGAACACCCTCCCACATGACCTGTACTTTACTATTTTTTTGGCATAAAAGCTGCTCGAAAGCCCATGTTTTATTATAAATAGCACAGGCAGATTAAACTTCTATTTCTTCTGTGATAAACCCATTGGAGGGTTTTCTGGAGGCTTGTATTAGTTTTGCTCTATTCTTACAACAGACAATCCAGAAAGTCCAAATTGCTGCGCTGTATTTTTGCCAAGATAAGCAAGACAGGAAGTGTTTAACTGCAGTCTCACATCTTTTACTGCAGGTTGACCTCAATCCCAAATGTATTTTCTATCTACACTTACATTTCATGGGCATTTTTAAACTACAGCATATTACACTGTACATGGCATCTAAGATTCAATATCAAAGACAGTTTAATATTGAAGCATTTTAAGCAGGTGGTTTTACCCATAAAGAAAAAAAAAATAAAGAAAATCTCTGAGGCTTTTTTCAGCAAAAGGTAACACAGGCAAAATTTTGTATGTTAATTTTCTATGCCTTTCACAGTTAACCTATTGCAGAAGCAATTAGGAACAGACATTATAAACTGTTCAATTAGCCACTTAATTGCAGCAATGAAAGTCACAATGAAAATTATGTATTAAAGCAGCGAAGTCTTTACCAAGGTAACATTAAGGAAAAGAACTTCAGTAAGCTGGGAGGAAAAGAGAGAGAAGCCTACAGAGACAGTTTTTAGTGAGCTACAAAAAAAAAAAAAACCAAAAAAAAACCAAAAAAAAAAAAACCAAAAAAAAAAAAGAAGAGGGAAGGAAAAAAATTAAAGCCTCCAGAGATCACTTCAGATCACTTCAGCAAACCCGTATGGCCCTCAGAATTTCATCAATTTTTAAGCAGTAATTAGCTTGTTGCAGAGAATGAGCAACATGTTCACCAAGATCCACATTCTCTGCACTTAATGTTGATGTGCTGAACCAAAAAATGGGTATCTATGTTAGAGAAGAACTGAGGTGAGCACAGCTGGCCCCTCCTGTGCAGAGCCAGGTCCCCCCAAATCTTCAGGCTGAGCCCCCCAGCTCCCTCCACACCTCTACAAATCTTGATGCACACTCTGACAATAACAAAAAATTTAATTAGGATCTGTGCGGACCTGTCCACATCCAGACCTGACGGTAAAACAACCTGAAACGCTCCATGGTAAATATCTGTTCCTCTCCTGAAGGAAGCAATCTTTCCACATCAGAAATGCCAGCAGTATTTCTAATTATTAATCATCTAAGTGGGCAGTTGCCTCAGTGAGTGCTACTTTCAAGTAATGTTTTTCACCATTATCTGTTGAAATTAATATGCACTGGTTCCACAAATAGTATCTTCACATAATGGTGATACAGAACTTTTACCACAGGCTGTCAAACACCAAGTTAACCTGACAGCATTGCTACTTTCACTGAATTACTTCTTTCAATATTATTTAATCACTCTGTTCATGTACTTGTCTTTAGACTGTGTTATGCAAGAAATCCAGTCTCACCTTCGTATGTTTTCTTTTATGCACTTCAATAAAAACCTGGTATTTTTATAGCTTCCTCTATTACCACAGATCAAAAAGATAGGTGCTGAATAGACATAAATCTCCACATTAAAAACCTTCTCAAAAAGCTAATACTTCTATAGCTTCCACTATCACTGAAGACTAAAACAAGTACGTGAGGGATAGAGAGATAAATTACAGTATTGCACCTTTAAAATCCACCTCATCCCAGAGGAACATTTATATCACAATAAATTCTGTACCATATACTTTAAAGAAATTAAACATGCACCTTTTCTTTCCTATTTCAGTTAAGATGTCAAAACCTCTCACTCCAGTCACTGCATTTCTGTATCCAGTAGGTGTCCCTGCCCATGGCAGGGGGCTGGAACAAGATGTCATGAGGGTTCCTTCCAAACCAAACCATTCTAAGATTAGCCTGGGATTAATAAAACAGCACACGATTCCTGACCATAGTAATTAACTTGTCCAAAGTTTTGATGGTATAATAATAATATCCAAATTTAAGGGTTTATCTACACAAAGAGAAATCTGTTCACAAGAACTGCTGCGAGTTGCTCAGAGTCATGAAGCTTCTGGTGTCTTTCTCAGCAAAAAACTGCAATTCAGAGGCTGATTCGATGTGCCAGTTTCAATGGAGTCCCACGCTGAAGGTGTGTCAGCAGCCAGCAATGGGAGAAAATCACACTCCAGGCTTTGGGGAGACCCCAGCAAGCCCCAGAGAGTCCCAGGGACATGGAAGGAGAAATTTGGGGCCACCAGGCAGATCACAAATAACCAGAACTGATGGGTACACCCCAGAGCTGCAGGTCAGCTTCACCAGTCAGCCTGGCTTGAATCCCAACACCTCAGCAAACACCAGTGCTGCTTTCTGTCCTGCATAAAGAGCAAATACCAAAAACCCCAGGCTTGGGGCACAGCGCTTTTCACAGATTAAAACTAAAAAAGCCTCTCCAGTATATGCAGCACAAAAGAAAAGGGTTCCCAATGCACAAGAAGCCCCCAAAAAGGGATTATATTTTTCTTACCTCAACATACCTAAACAAGTTTGGAAGAGTGTTTGTAGATTCCCATTGAAACGTAAACTTTAAGGCATTTAGAGATTTTGAGGAGCTAAGATTTTAGTTAGAAATAAGCCTTACTAGAGTTAATTAAAAAAAGAATAATAAATGAGTAGGCCTTGATGAAATTAGGAGTTAGTAGTTAACTAATAACTGATTGCTTGCCAGCACAATGTTTAGTTAGCTGGGTTTATAATGAAGAATACACAAACTGACAAATTGCTTTTAGGAACATAAGACAATTGTGGCCTCCTCTGTTCTGAAACCAATTGAAGACAAGGAATGGGAGTTCTACCAAGAGTTCATTTGTCATACTTGCATTGAAAAGGTAGAAAGGTCAGAACGAGGAAGACTTCATTTACTTCCTCATTTTGGGACCCCTCCCCATGAAAGGGACACCGACCCATTTCAAGGGACAAACCACACATGCTGAATGGCTTTTGGAGTGATTAGCATACGAAGCGGGGAATGGGATGTACCAAAATTATGAATATGTGTTTGTATTATGTGTATTCAATACTTGTATGGATAAAAAGACTCTGTAATCACCTGGAAGGTGCGGTGTGTATTTGGGAGCGATCCCGCACGCTGCCCGGCGTCGAATAAACACACACTTTCTAACTTTAAACTGTTAGAGAGTTTTTGTCTGTCACAGTTGGATATCGATACTAGATCAATATCCATATTTTTTAATAAATCACCATCCTTATTGGTCATACATTCTGAAGCAAGTAAATGGGCTTCACACATTTGCACAGAAACATGTCATGAAGTGAGTTTTAGTGTTGGTAAGAAACCCAAACTGCCAGTGATCCTGCCCTCCTCCATTTTTTAATTTATGATGCTGGGCTGTCATACATTAGCCAGCCAGAGAATGGCAGAGCTGGAGGAGGAAACCATGTGAACTGTGATGAGAAGAAGGATGAAGGTGACGAGATCCCATTCACTGTGTAAAATACAGAGCATTTGCTCAATAATACAGTCCTTCCTTTATTTTTTAGTTATTATTGAACGATTTTAGACTGCTTTCCCAACCTAAACCATTCTGTGGGGGTTTACATGAGCAATCTTAGGCTTGAGAGCACAAACTGTAACATTCAGCAGCAGTCTTCTGTTCATAAGAGAGGAATATTTAACCATTCACTATGCCAGGCTTTGAGTTTGTTCCACAAAGGGTCACAAACTAATTCAGCATCAGAACTGACTGTTAGGAACCAGGAGCAATCCATAGTCCAACACATTTCAGGCATTTAATTTCACTTTCACTGGTCCTTGGAACATATGAAATCATTTTGTTCTAAGAAATATGCCACTGAAAATCCCTCTTGCAACCACC